ATGTAATATATAATCTTTTTTATATAAATGTATCAAAAATGTCGTTAGTCGAAATCGCTATAACGATAGAAATTCGCACGCGTATTCTACGGATGGCCCAGCAGCAACTGTACAAAAACGGAAAAGTTCGGCCTAGATAAAATTTATTATGTGCAATATATACGTGTATAAAAAAAGAGCATTTATCTCCCCTTGAACGCATCCTTATTAATTGATGAATGTGCTCAATAGGTATCCTAATACCCAATTCATACCTATGTACGAGTTGCATCGGCGTTTGCTTAGATACAAATTAAACGCCGATTTACTTATATGATTTGATCAATTGAAGAATATAAATATAAGCTATCTGGATTGGTGGGGTGTACTTAACAATTACTTGTAATAGATAATAAATAAAAACATGTAAAGTGAACAGTTTATTTTTTTTTGCGATTGAACAGGTTCTTCGACTATTTTTTCCAGGTTTACTGAAATCCGGATGCAACAGTTTCGTTTTTTTAATTACTTCTATTTACGAAAATAAAAATGAGCTGCATCACTCAGGACAATGTTATGTCAAATTTTTGAAGTGAATTTTCATTATTTCTATGCGATGTACGAATGTGTATTGACCTTATCGAAAGATCCTTTATATGTATATAAAAAATTATAAAACAACAATATAGAAATTCATAAATTAATATTATGATTAGTTTACACAAAGAAATAAAGTCTAAAACGTTATCGACATTATTGAAAACTCTACTGCACTTGAGATTTGAACCCGCGACAATTGAGTCGAAATCGCCCACTCAGGCGGATAAGTATAAAGTAAAATGAATGCATACATAGTTCGTTGCTTTTTTTTTAACATTGACTTATTAAAAATCCAAGTAGATTAATTTTTCTTTATTTCCGCTTTACTTCCTATTTTACACCACCCTTACCATTCACATATTAATACATTTTGCAACACTTTGTATTTTCTCCCTAATTGCAATTCCCAGCTCTCTTACAGAAATGTTATTAAAAATATAAAAACATATCTGGTAACATAGCATATCTGGCAACACGACTCAGTTATTTTTTGCGGTAACCACATTCACATGATATCAATTGTTTTCTCAATTATGGTAATACTAAAATATTAAAATAATGGCTCTGTCTCGTTCTTTTATTTCCGCCATTGCTTGAGAAAGTCTGAGAATTATGGGTAAGCTAGGAAAATGTTTAATTTTCTACGAGAAAAATTAAAATTAAAACGCGGGAAAATAATTCATTAGCTAATTAAAAGTTTACTGAAGTGAATTTTATAAAATATATTAAAAATTATGCTTGCATTATACTGTAATTGTAGTGTTAAAAATTGTTCTGTTTTTGTGTTAGTGAGTTGACAAAAAAGCCGCATTCTCTGAAACATGAGTGAAAAATTGTAAAATTTAAAGCTGTTTTTATCTAAGGCATCTTTACAAAAATATTTATTTGAAATTTTAGAAAAACTCTTGACATCGCGAGAAAGTTGAAAGTTATAAATATTAGAAAGAAAAATTTTAGTTTTATTTTTAAATACAACGAACTATATTGTTTACTTACTTGTTTCATAGGTAAGCCCCGAGGACTGCGCACTGCTAGGAAACATGTTAATCATCGCCGTGATCAACGTTGGGCTGATAAAGATTATAAAAAAGCTCATTTAGGTACCAGATGGAAGGCTAATCCCTTTGGTGGTGCATCTCACGCCAAAGGTATTGTATTGGAAAAAGTGTAAGTATTTTTTCGAGGGTTAATTTAAAGTTATTTGTAAGTGCATAAATGAATTCTCCTCCTCTATGTTCGACCCGCAGTATATTTTTGTGTTTTTGTGTCAATTTAACAAAAGTCAAATCACAGGATTATACTGTGAGTTGTGTAGGGTGAAAAACATCTTAATATCTACGCCTATGCTATATACCTCAAGAAAATTTTTGTATATACTTAGTTATTTTAATTCATTTCTTTTATTTTTCCCAGCGGTGTCGAAGCCAAGCAGCCTAACTCAGCCATTCGGAAGTGCGTAAGAGTTCAACTTATTAAGAATGGCAAAAAAATTACCGCTTTTGTACCACGTGATGGTAGCTTAAATTACATTGAAGAAAACGATGAAGTCCTAGTTGCCGGTTTTGGTCGTAAAGGTCATGCCGTCGGTGATATTCCCGGTGTACGTTTTAAAGTTGTTAAAGTAGCCAATGTCTCACTGTTGGCTTTATATAAAGAAAAAAAAGAACGTCCCAGATCATAAACATTAAAGACATGTGAAAAAAAAACTAGAATATTAATGTATTTTAATTGCATAATATAAAGATTGAAAAAAATGATAAGACAGAGATGTGAAATGAAGTTCATTGCTAATCGAGACTTAGTTTTAACGTGGAGTATGTTGAAGCTGATATACCAGTGGCGGCACACAGTTATTTTAAAAGAACTTTTACTTGTCGCAAATAGACGAAGAGATTTGGGAGGCCGTTTTAAACTGATGACTATTATGCCTTTTTACCTAGACTTTAGTAATAGGCGTTTAGGCGTAATATTAGCAAACTAAAACCTTTGACTGTAGCGAAGTTTGTTTATAAAGAAAAAAAAAACTCCGTTTATAATTTCCATCGGGAGGGTGTTCCCAGTTAAAAGCATATGTATCAACTTTCCACAAAGATTATTGGCAGTTAGCAACAGATAAAAATGTCAAAACTTGTAAAATACATTTGCATTAGCTTTTCGTTTGAATGACCCTAGCTTGTAAATTGCTTGCGATATGTTGTCATACACTTTATATTAGCAATTTCAGGAAATTTTCGGAAAAATATCTTATACTATGTTCAGTAACAGTACACGGATGCAAAATAATGCCCGAAATCTTTTAAAATAATAGTCATATATATCGTAAGATTATTTTTGGGCCAGCAGCAGAGGCTTCGTAATAACTTTTAAAATATTTGTACAAAAAAAATAATAAAATTAATCAAATAACAAGTAAAAAGGTTATAGAGCGGGTTACGGCCCACCATCAAATATACTACGCCACTTCGATTAACGAAATTACTCGCTTAATTAAAATTATAACGATTCCTCAAAATAAGTTCGTATTATCTGGGAAGTGGCCAAAGAAGTAATCCGATCCAAGCTATTTTGAAATGGGTTCATTCTAACTGATATTAGGAAAAATAATTAAATGTACTTTATACTAATGAAAGACTCGTGAAAACTTTCTTAACAAGTCCATCTAACGGCTCATTATTAAGATAGCGGATCATATTTATAATATAATTATTTTTGAAAAGTGAATCAAAAACACTATAAGAACCGACTTTTCAAAATAACGTCTTATATGGGAAGTGGTCGAAGAATTAATACGATCGGAACCAATTCCAATAAAACACTGTCTTGTTCCACCAAAACGTGTTAAAGATTGCGACTATGGAAACAGGAAAACAAGAAGAACAAACAGTCGGTTGGTATAATGGGTCAGTTTCAAGCCCATCTCAAGCTAAATATATCCCCTGCTGCAAAAGTGATACAGGGTATCATTTCATTACCCTAATTAATTACAATAATAATTAAATGTGATTTTTCGAAGCGAGATCTTACAAGATATTTACATTTTCGAAAATTAATATGCTTGTTATTTGCATCTTCAAACGATCTGATGCGCGGAATTTTAAAGGTTGATATTAGTACATTATATGAAAAAAAGTTTGCGAATCGGCTTCGTTTAAATTAATTTGTTATTAATCTTAAAACAAATCACATATTGTTAAGTCCCAAAATGTGATATGGGAGTAATTCCAGAGAAGAAATGAAATGAGTCATACTTTAACGGTCTTTGAACTCAGACTAATCGTCATCTCTTCCATTGTGAAAACCATAAATTAATGTAACCGCCTTGATGAAATGCAATCGAATTGAAATGAATTCAACTTTCAGTCCGCTACAAGATCAATCACTTACCCATTGCCTTCACTTTTCTTCATCTACTGTCATTGAATTTTTTGCTTTCGTATGAACGAAAGATAAATTTTTGTTCTTTTTTTTTTTTTTTGTTTTTGTTTTATTATTATAATAAGTATTTAGGCATACATATGTATGTTGCAAAATTGTGATAATATGAATTCGATGATGAATTATAATGAATATGTTTAAAGATAACTTAAAAACGACGCGCTTGCATGCACAGACTACTCTGAGAATAAATTCTCAGAAAAGTTTGCATAGTAAAAACATTCATTTCCGAATTCCGAATTTGTATAAAAAAATTTGAAAAAGTGAGTAATTAAAAGATCGAAAATACGAAAGTTTCTCCGGCTGTGTATTCCAATCCAATCTTCTTTTCTTTTTTCTTCCTTTGATACTTCAATAAATGTTTTACGTATATGTATAATCGTATGCAACACTACTAGCAGAAAGAAAACATTAATTATTACTGATGACTATTTTCAAGTGTTTAGGAATAACGCATATTAGTAAAATTGCCAGCTGGTCGACGTATACGGCGTGCGCGCTGACCTCGCGGATTACTAAAACCAGTACGCAATGGATTGCCGATAGAGTCTTGATGAACGCCACCCCGTTGACTTGGTGAAGCGGTGCGAGATGTGCCTGGCGATTCTAAAACAATAATAGATAAATAATAAAACAAATGATCCATTGATTGGATCGCAAACAATTTAAATCATATTTTCATAAAATTTATAAAACCCTGACGACAATGTAATTTTCATACTAAAAAACTATAACTAAAAACCATACTTAATTATTGCCGATTTTTGGGTCTAATTGCATTAATTTTCAATTTGATATATAAATGCTAGCTAACAGGAATAAATTGAAACTTAAATAAACTTAAAAATTTACGGGAAACGTTTAAGAAATCTTAAATTTAGAAAAAATTAAATTTTTTTTTTTCTTGGTAATTATGGCCGGATATCCCAGGAGTATGTACGGTTTGTAGAGTCCCGGTAACTATTTTTGTGCGTTCCTAACACTTGATAGATCTAATGTGTTGCCCTTGTTCGGTAAAACATGACAATAATATGTAGAAATTTATCGCTTACCATGCCATACAATAGGTGTAGGTCTACCGGGGCCACCGCGTTGCAAACCTCGCGGCGGTTTTCTAGTGGCCGTTAAACCTTTCGTGGTTTTCGATCTAGTATTAATTGATGGTGAAGTGGTAGCTTCTGCTTCACGCCCTTCCTCCTAAAATATTTTTTTTCCAACATAATTATAATTAAATAAATACAAGTACATATATAAAAAATGTAATTTATTCTCACCTCTACTTCTTCCACAGTTTGCTTTTCTCCTTCGGAAGACACACCATCGGTTCCTTCATTCTCCTCCGAAGTAGGTTCAACTTGGCTCTGTTGTATATCTTGCATTTCGGATTGTGTAGCTCCGCCCACGTTTTCACTGTCAGCGTTTTCGGATAAGTCGCCAGAAGCGCCCGTTTCCTCATTAAAGTCTTCATCAGTTTCGCCCGTCTCTTCACCGTCTCCGCTGTTTTTCTGGCTTTCCTCTAAAGGGATAGCCTCCTCCTTAGCGCTACCGCTTTTCTTCTTTTCATAATCTTCGTTTATGAATTCATTGTTCGCGTTAGTGTTTTCATTGGCAGCACTAGCTTGATTTTCCTGCGCATTGCTTGTGGAATTTTCGTCAGATTGTTGAGCGTTTGTTGATGTTGTTTCCGAGCTGTGAGTGCATTTCGAATCCTGTGGCGAACTGACAATATCGGTGCTGAAAAAATAATATATATAAATAGATGGAGGTTAAAAGATTATAAAGAATATCATCTTACTTCTCCGATCGCCTAACAGAGCTTGCGTCAGTGTTATCATGTTCTCCCTGTTGCGCCCCTTGTTGCAACATCATTAGCGTGGCTTTTTGTTGTCGCTTTAACGAAGTTGAACTTTGTTTCCAATTAGGCGATTCACCGCTGCCACTGCTAATAGCCTGACTTTGTTGATTATCCTGTTCTAAACTATGAACTTTAGCTAAAGCAGCAGCCGCAGCAGCACTTGTACTTGCGCCTGTTGCATACGCATCAGTATCAATTTGCGCCGTACTAGCTGAAGTACATTGAACTTGGTTCTCATTGCCTTCGTCCACGTAAACCTCATTATTATCGTTGTCGCCTACATCGGCACGCATATTACTTTCATTTATTTCGGGACATTCATTTTCATCCATGTCCTGGTCTTGATCGTAGGAATCTTCGTATACTTCGTGTTCACCATCACCGTCGGTGGGCCCACCATCATCAGCTTCCGCTTCAGTCATGCCATCGTCGTCTTCTGAATCCACAACTACCACATCATCTTCTTGGTCTCTTTGTGAAGAGGTCGGCATTTGATCCACATCTATACCAGAATCAGTTACTCCAACGGTTAACAGTGATGTTTCGGAACCGTGCATTTGAGTGCGTAAACGTTTCGGATGTTTGCTGGAGATAGATTTGCTTTGCTCTTCAACACTTGTCGAAGAATCTCCCTCTAATTCTCTAGGACGCTTATGACCGGCTGATGAACCCGCTTGGGTAGTGGTTACGTTGCTACTGGAAGGAGTATGACGACTGTGACTGCTGACAGTAACATGAGAACTGCAACCGCTTGAATTAGATGTGCTGGGTTGCTGGTTACCAGGGTCCTGAATAAGTTGAACGTTTGGAGAAGCGGCAGTTTGTGCGGAGGAGCCTTCAACACGTGGCGAGACTAAAGCGACAACTTGAACTTGACTTCCACTTCCGCCGCTAACATGAGCTTGTGGCTCATTTTGCTGTGGTTGCTGTATACTTTCTGCCTCTTGGGAGCTTTCGGCCGCTGAAGTGGTGCCCATTGGTGGTATGGTGGCAACTGCTACTGACGATGAGCTGCTGGTTGAGGGCATATAGTCGGTATGTGACGAAGTTGGCGATGATGACATGGTTTCCAGGGAAGAGCTACTGCCCGTAGTATGAACCTGTTGCTGGGGAGGTACTAGAGCGGTGTTGCTGCTCCCACCGGCAGAGGATGGAGTGTTCGAGGTTGAAGTTGAAGCTGATGAAGTAGAAGCTGACGTTCCTGCCCCGGCACCGCTACCAGTAGTGCTTTGCTGGCTGGTTGGCAAAATTGCTGCTGTTCTTGTGTTTTGTACCGATATAGGACGTATGCTGGCCAGGGGAGGTCGCGGTGTTCCTGTGGTCGATTGCTGAGCCGATGTTGAGCCTGACATAGGTTTAACGTTAGCTGTGCGCGGCGATGAATCCAAAATGACGCCTTTCTCTGAAATTGCGACCGAACTGGTGGAAGGTTTAGCTGATTGTTGCAATCCGAGTTGACGTTGAAGCTGATTGATTCGCATAAGCAAAGATTCATTTTCACGTTGCAATCGGGCTATATCCTCTTTGTTTCGATTACTTTGTTCAACAAGTTCGCGCTCTAGTCGTTCCAAGGTTTCCTCATAGTTGTGCTTCACTTCATTTAAAGTAGCTTCATGAGCTTCAGTATTTTGCAAGAACTTGTTCTTCAAAGTAGTTAACTCGTGGTTAACGATATTTCGCGATTCAGTTAAACTAACAATGTGAGTCTTTGCTTCACGCAGTAACGCCTTAGTGCGTTCGTCAATTTCCACAGACGCCTTCAATTCTTCATAATCCTTGCGTATCTTTTCGTTCTCCTCTTGCATGGTACGTATTACATTATTTAGGCTATCAATGGTACCGCGCTGTTGGTCCAATTCATTTTGATTGACCGAACTTCCTTCCGTACTATTGCCTAATTTGATGCTATCTTGGGTAGCGTTAGGGGTGACAGCGTTGGTAGCACCTTCAGCACCCACTGGCTTTTTAGTTGCTTCCAAGTATAAATCTTTGTAGCGTTTAGCTATCTTACGTATTTGTAACTCTTTGTTTTTCGAATCCTGCAACTGCAACTCCACAGTTTTGAATTCCTCGGCGGTCCTTTGCGAAGATTCCTCCCTTTGTAGAATTTTATTCTTTAATTCCATCACCTCTTGCATTAAACGTGAATTGGTTTGTTTCATTGTTGTCATATCCGCGTTCAATGACTTCTTCTCCTCACTTAGTATTTGCAATTGCTTTTCAAGATTAGTTATTTCATTCTCTAAGCGAGTCTTTTCACCTTTTACTGATTGCAATTCATCTTCGATTCGCTTAATTTGTTCTTTTTCTGCGGTCAACATTTTCGCCAAATTCTCGCGCTCGGACTGTAAACGTTTAAATTCTTCTGGATTTTTATTGCTCTTTGCCACCAAATCGTTAGCACGCTGACGATAGAATATTGCCTCGGTTCGTAATGATGAGTTCTCCGAGGTAAGCATATCGATTTTTGTGCTTAGTTCACGATTTTGATTTTGCAACGGAAATAGTTCCTCTTCTAATGAACTAATGCGTTCATTTAACTCGGCTACACGTTTCGACAAAGAGTTACGTTCTTCACGCAGCACTCGATTACTATCGGTGATGGCGTTCAAGGTCTCTATCTTACGTAAAATTTCCTCGTGCTTCGACGCGGACACAAGGTTTGTATCAGATTTAGCCCTTTCATGATTAAGGAAATCTTGCATCTCATCGTTCTTCTTCTGCAATATCATATACTCGGACTGAAGACGGGTATTCTCCGCCTTTAAAATGTCCAATTTTGCAATTGCAAGATCTTTCTCTTTACGTGTGAATTTAATTATTTGTAAAAGTTGATCATTGTTCTTGCTCTCAGCCTCGCCTTCAACGAGGGATCGACTTAGTTCACCTGTAGACGTGTCCATTATCACGTTGACGTCTGAAATTTGCGATTGGCTTAATGTTCCCAGCTTCGTTGTTAAAGCTTCAATTTGATTATGTAAGTTAGTAATAAGCGAATCCATATCCCCGATACGTTTCTCAAACTCTTCTTTTTCTTGACGCAACATTTTTGTAGACTCCTCGTTGGATCGTTTAACATCTTCAAGAGCAGTCTTTGCATTATCACGTTCGGTGGTGATCGAACTAATTTTTCCTTGAACCTAAAAAGAAATCTCTCATTATAAAAAGCTATATGCGCGAGCAACTTCATTATAATGTCCCGTATTATCAGGTATATAATATTCCAAATGATTACAAAGAGTTTGAAGTTGACAAGGAGATAAATATAGTCGATAGGCCATCAAACACTGATCCTCCATAATTTTGAATCCATAGGCCTATCTTTAAGCGGGGCTCATTCCAGTTTGGAAATTGGGCAGGTCACAAATAAACAAACACTTCAATAGATGTAAATGAGTGGTTTTCGACTATCCCTCAAAGATCTTATTACAGAGATATTGCTTAATTAGTGCGAAATCACGCCTGCACAGTCGGAAACACATACAAAAACTTGGTAGGGCAATTATGCCAGTTAACGGTCATAGGTAAAAGATGAAAAATAATCCTGATGAGTCCAAAAGTACACATGACTTTTCAAAAAGAAAATTTTATGTCTTTTAAAATTCTGTGCAAGTATTAATCAAACCACCATAAGTAAATAAATAAAATAAATAAAAAAGAAAACTTACCTTAACAAGTTCCGCTTTAATTTTAGTCAACTCTTGCAAATCTGCAGAATGTAATATCATTTCATTTGCATATTTGGCTTCCACGGCACTCAATGATTCCGATAGTTCAGAGTTCTCAGAACGTAACGAACGTAAATTACGATTGCACTCACTTAACTTCAAGAGGGCATCCTTGAGTTCCTCTTGGGCTTTTTTCAATTGATTCGGTTGAGAACCGTTTGTCGTTTCTGTTACCGTTGCCAATTGCAACTCGGACTCAAGTTCGGTTATACGGGATTTCATGTTCAATTCTTTCGTGCGTAAATCTTTAAGTTCCGTCTCGGCTTTGTTGACAAAACTCGTGTGTACTTCGTGAAGATTTTTTATTTCTGTCTCTGCACTTTGCGACATTTTATAATATTGTTCGCTATGTTGACGAGCTTTCATCAACTCACTGGTTAGCGATTCAATTTCAATTTTTGCATTTTCATATTTCACCTCTAGTTCGCGAGCTTTTTTATTTGCCAAAACAATTGGATTATCATTTTTCGAAGGTGTTAGGCTCTCTTGCAATTTACGGCTTAATTCATCAATCTGCTGCGTCTTAGCAGTTAAATCGTCTCTTAAAGCTAATAATTCTTGTCGCAATTTGTCGCTTTGCTCCTTCTCTTCAAGCATTAGTTTTTTAGCGGATTCTGATTGACGCTTAAGATCGTTAACAGTTTCGCGAAAACGATCTTCTTCTTCTTGGAAACGTCTTCGCTGAGCAGAGAGTTCACGAACAGTTTCATCTAAGCGTTTCTCGAGTCTAACACGGCCTTCCGTTTCCGAGCGTTCCAAATTTGATTTAATAAATTCAAGATTGTTTAGCAATAATGCTTGATTTTGTTGGTCACGATGATGAGACTCTTTTTCTGCTTGTAACCGTCCGATAGTGTCTTTAAGCATACGATTTTCATCACGCAAATGATCGGCTTCAGATTCGGCTGCGGAATGTCCTCTAGAAGCTTTAATCGTTTCATCCTTCAGATAAAGTATGGTCTGTTCATGCTTAACGATAGTGTTTTCATAGTTTTTAGTACGATCTTCCAAAGTGCTAATTTGCTGCTTATAAGTCGCAATATTTTTCTGCTGCAATTTTATTTGCTCTTTATTATATTCGAGGGAAGACATAAGTCGGCAATTGGTAGAGGTTAAATCACGCACTTCGGTTCGCATAGAATCGAACTGTTCGTTAAGTATTTTTTCATTATTTTTCTTTTCTTGCACATAATACTCATATTGCTCTTTTAAGCTCTTATACTGATCCTTAACATCCTGCAATTGTTGTTCCAAATCGCGTATACGTTTTTCGCTATCCTTTGTTAACGGCTTAGGGCTTATATTGTTGACGGTATGGTTATTATCAGCCGTAGAATGACTGCTACTGTTATGATTTTCACCCATGGTATCGTCTTCCACATCGCTGATATCAACTTCAGTCATATTCTTATTAAGTTTTTTCTGCAACTCAAAGTAAAGTTTCTTATAGCGTTCGCATTTGGATACCAAAGTGGCTACAGTATTATTTTGCTGATTTAGTGTATCTTGCATAGATTGGAATTTGCGAGCATAATTTTCCAGTTTCTCTTGATAGGATGCCTCGTCCATCTCCTGCTTAAAAGCTTCGGCCTCCTCCAATTTGGAACTGAGATCGCGTACCAATAATAGCAACTTCTGATTGTTCTCCTGCAGTTCGGCTATATTGCTGAAAGTAACTAATTTTTTAGATATCACTTCGTCTGTTGTAACCATTTGACTGGCTTGTGAAGAATTTCCGACTCCTCCATCAGGAGCAAGCCCGATACGCAATTGTTCTACCTCTTTAAGCAGCAAGCATACCTGGCGACTTAGATCGTTTTGTGATTGCTTCAATTTTCTATTTTCACGTTCCATATGACTGATTTTGGCATGGGCTTCAACCAATATTTCCTCCATATCAGCTTTCTTCGATATCAATTCATCGCATTGATGGGTGAGTATGTTATTTGTTTCCAATAGTTTTTCATATTCTAGTTCTTGCTTCTTAACCATGGGGGCATTCTCATTTAGTTCGCTTAAAATTGTTTTCAATTGTAAATTCATGCGCGAATTCTCACGTTTTTGTAGCTCCAACTCCTCAGAGCTCTTAACGTAAAGAGAATATAATTCAGTCAATGACATGTCGCAACGTATTAAACGTGAAGCAACAGCTGCTGAGGGTGCTAGTTTTGAGATAGCATTTTCTACTGTCTCATGCTGGACTTCCTTGAGCAAGTCGTTAGCATGCGCTAATTCCATCTTGAGGGAATCAATAATTTTGTCTTTTTCCTCCAATTCTTGTTCGTGTTTCAACTCCGTGGCCTTTAATTTGGTTTCCAATTCCCCATATTGATCACTGGCTTCAGCCAACATACGTTTCAATTCACTTATGGCTGCCCCTAGTTCGGTGCGCTCCAATTCCGTATCATCACAATTACTTTTGTATAGTTCTGCCAATTTGGCTTTGGCATCTAGTTCTTTCTTATAATAGTCCATCATTTTCTGGGCTTCTTCGTTTTGCGATAACATTTTATTTGATAAATCTTGAACGTTTTGGGTTAAACGTTCATTCGTCTCTTTATATTGATTGCATTGGTTTTGAGCGATTTTCAGTTCTTCAATTTTTTCTGTGAGACGGGCTTCTAAATGTAATGATTGCATGGTATTTTCACGTCGTATGTTTTGTAATTCATTCACATTTCGGTTAAGATCTTGAGTAAGCGCCTGAACTTGTTTGTGTAACATTTCGCGTTCCTGTTCCATGCGCCGTTCTTTAAAGTCTATTGAAACTTCTTTACTTTCGACTTCATCAACGCGGGCAAGAGCTTCGCATTTCGCAGCAATAGCTGCCTTCAGTTGCTGCTGATATCCTTTTAAATCTTGTTGCAATCGCTCCAACTCACTGTTCTGACGTTCTATCATTTTAAGTAATTGATCACGCTCATCGCTCAAAGCTTTTTTCTCTTTACGTAGCTGGTTAAATTCTTTTTCGCAAGTACTAGTAGTATCCAGCAAATGCATCCTTTCACTAGAAACAGTGTCCAATTGCGAACGCAGCTCAGTAACATTTTGCTGCAAATTCTGTAACTTCACTTCGTAATCTTCAATTTGAGCTTGCAAATCTTCAGTTTTTTGCTCATAGTCATCTAAATTGAGAAACAACAAAAGAAAAAAAAAAGAACGTTTATCCAGTTTCTCTAGGCTTGCTATGGTTTTTATTTCTTTTTGACAGTATAGCATGCACATACAAGCAAATGTATTTATGTGCATGTATAACAAAAGCCGCCATTTAATGCCGAGTTTAGAGATATTTCTCGATTTACCGGCACCATTTTAACATAACAAAATTTTCCTTTATTTCTTAGGAAAATAATTCTGTTAATTTATTTTAAAAGAAAAGGCTAAAATAAAACAAAAACTTACGTAGACGATTCGCAGCCGCTTTATTTTTGCAATATTCATCAAAAAAGTCATCTAGATACTTCGTCAGTTTTTTTTGTGCCAGCATTGGCATCTGCTCCAATTCATCAGAGGATAAAATGTTTGATAAAACTAATGGACCGTCGTGATCCATGATTTTAAGAAGTTTGCAATTTGCGCTTTAACACAGTAGAAAATGGAATTTAATTTATTTTTGTGGAATGAAATTTGATTAATATTTAAAGTCTTTGCAATTCTTTTTCTCTTCTACAATTATCGTTTTCACACGAAATGCGACGCACGGACTGGTCTTTTTGGCAATCTTCGTTGGCGTTGCCAAGGGTATGCACTTTTTCGATTTGCCTGGCTTGATAATATTACAAAGTTGTACTACAAGGTATTTACTTGCAAGGTAAGCTTTTTTAGCATACAATAACAAGAAAAAAAAATTGGGAAATTTGTTTCAAAGAGAAACAATGAAGTTGCTAATTATGTCTTATACTAATTTGTATCAATGTAAATGTACATTAATTTGTACATACGTACGTATATTTACTTGTATTTATCATTTCATAAATATGTAAAATATATCTGTAAATTAAACAAATATGCGACTCTGTGCCAAAATGAAGTACTTATTTTACAAAGCAATACAGCTTTGCAAACGAAAGGGTAATCAATCACCTAAAAATATGTTAAAAAAGCAGGATATTTATAAGGAATAATTATGTAGCGTAGTCGTTAAAGAAATAAAAAGTACTTAAAAGTCATTTTGCCTTTTATATTCTTAAGTACTAAAGAAAAGTAGCAAACAGATTTTACTCTCATGAATAGTCCTGCAATGTTCACATAAAACCAAGTATTAAACGTAGACCAAGAAAATTTATTGATTGGCAACTTGTACAATATTTTAGTACTTTATCAGAGATGGAAAAAAAACCTTTTTGAAATGGAGTGAATTTTTTTATGCACTTCTCAGTTTATGAGAGCGCACTTAGAAGTTTTTGTAATTATATTAAATGGTTACCCTAATGAGCAAAAATTTATTTTGTCTCGTTTGGTAAATAAAGAAGTCCGACATGATGTCTCTTGTTTATATTTTTATGGTATAGCAAAGATTAATTTGATGATTTGTAAAAATTGATATTCCATCATTTGTTGCACTGATTATTCACTGGTACAATTGCAAAAAAATGTTTTCGTCGGTAAACAAAGCAATGAATAAAAAAAATAGTTATTACCGAACTTTTCCTTTTGCTTGGCAAAATTTGTTCATAATGATTCAAACAGTACGACGATCTATCCTTTATGTATTTTTTTAAAATCGCAATGTTCGCAACGGTAATTTGCTATATAAAAATCTAAAGACATGCAATCGCTCATATAGATAAACTTACTTCCTGCATAGTTTAGTAATCTTGAAATCTGTTAATGGTCCATTTATCCTAATAATATTACCAGAAAAAAACAACAATCTCCACAATCTTATAATAATTAGGGTTAATCTGATAATGCGTTAAAAAAAAAGTAAAAACATATACACATATGTATTAACGCTAGGCATTCTTGGCAAACTCTAACAAATCCAAAGCACCAAATAATCAAAACTGAATGTCGATGAACGAATTTGTTTATCGAATATAAACACCCTAAAGGCGCGCAAGCAGACAAACGTCCACGCTGCCAACTAAACAAGCAACCAGCAAGCCTCAATGGAACAACTGGCATAGCAAAAAACATTTACAAATAAATAAACTAATATAAAGCAACAGTTGTTGCATGTTATTAAATAAAGCTCATGTGTGGATTTATTAAAGTCGTTTGCCACATACACAATCACAGCTCCATGTATCTTTCGGAGCAAGTTTTTATATCAGAATTTTTTTTTTTTTTTAAAGTCAATCGCAACTTCAAATAAATATCTTGGCGCATGCTCTAAAGCATAAGAGTACGCGCCTGCCAATCCCGTAGGAAGCTTTAAACTTCTTGGCAGAGGTCAGTTAGTGTAAGGAAAGCAAAGCAACCACCAAGCACAGGTAAGGCAGCATATTAGCGAACTAAATAATGTTAAGAGCTAAGCGAGAATGTGCTTATATGTATGTATGTGTGTGTGCCTTTGTGTGCACGTATTAAACGAGAGGTTGGTCTATGGCGTCGTATCGATGATCATCGGCCGCCGCTCCATAAGATGGCATAAGAGGTGGGCGTGTGACACTGCAAGTCTCTATCACTTAAAGATCTTAAAGGCTTTGGGATGTTAAAACAAATTATTGATTAGGACCTCAACTGCTATTCAAATAAACAAAATAACTACACTGAGAATATTTTCAAAAAAATCATAAATAAAGCGAATTTTCCTAACGTAAACAAAAGATAAACGAAGACTTATAAGGTTTTTTTATGAATTTATTTATTTTTTTTTATTTCTAGTGGAAATTAAGTTATTTTGCAGATATTTTTAGATAATTTCTTTTTGTGGATTTTTATTGTCTACCTTTGCCTTTATAACAGTGTATTCTAAGGTATTTCTTCATATTTTCCTTTATTTATATTTTATTATTATTTTTGTGTTTTTGCTGCTATTGCAGAAGGTGTAGTCTGTTAATGCTTATCACAGATTAAGCTTTTTTGGGGCTCTGCCCTCTATTTCTTTTCGTACTGTATATCATAAACAGACACATATATACATAGACACATACACATACATACGCAAACGCAAAAGCAAACGCAAATAACATGCCTCAGACCGTTCATCAATGTTTGTCGAACAGAAGAAAGAAGAAATGAGGAAAAAATCAAAACAATATTTGTTATATGAAAGTTACAAAGAATCCGAAGTGTTTGCTTTTATACGTCACAGTTTGTGTCCTGCCAAGAAGTTGATGATATGATATTTCTATACATTCTGGACATCTTTATGATATGCTGTAGATGGCTGCGGTAGGTACAGAGGTATGTCAGTGTGTATACAACATTTTCTATGGTATGTCTGATGTCATGACATAGCAAATGTCACAATTATTTGGAATGTGACAAGGAACATATCTTTTAATCGCGTTTAATTTTTATTTATTTTTTTTTTTGTTTAATGAAATAAATAAAAATAGATTTGATGACTAAATAATACCACAATCCCTAGGAGAGGCTGGCAAGCAGAGATAAATTGAGATAAGTTAAACTATGCCGAAGTTAGTGCAAAAACTTCACATTAACCGTTAACAAACGTTATTGGTATTTTCGTTCGTCTTGTAAACGGCAATCAGTTTTTTACATAAGAAAAAAAAAAAATAGGAAGAAATTTAGTCAAGCAGACAAGTATAAGTTGGGCCAGCGGATGGTTAGTATTTTCGCATCAAATTTTTGAATAAAGTGTTTATGATGACTTTTTATGGATCGACATCAGTTGTGTTTTGCAAGTTAATAATCGTAGGAGTTAAGAGTTAGTTTTCTATGTTACACTCGTAGCCGAAGAATGGTAGCAATGGTCGATCATTTCGCTTGTTTTTTGCGTGTTTGACTATCTGTACCTTTTTCTTGTCTTACTCTCTACCGTCCATCTGTTCATCTGTCAGTTTATTCACTTGGCCAATAAATTATCGTCTCTCATTGCCTATCCATCTTTGCCTCTATTCATTGGTTCATCTTTTCATCCGTTATTGTATCCACGCGTGAATGTATTCATTCGTCCGCTCGTTCATCCGCCCAATGTTGGCAGTCGCCAAAATTAAAAAAGAAATCAAAAACTTATATGCGTTTTATTCAATCCCAACCCAACTTTAAATAGAAAACGTTGAGTTGTGCGTTATTTGCCCATCTTCACGGCGGGAAAAAACTATAACTAACTCACACAGGTAGCAGTTCTTCACATCCAACTTAGTGCAAGTGGTAGCTGGATCTATTTAACGTGCGAAAAATGGTGCGATCAAGACTTACAAGAAATTCGCTTTACTTTCTTACCTTCTTTTTTAACTCTAAGATCATAAATCTCAATACTGTATTTCCAAGGTCATCTAGTAAGAACGCGTGAAGAACGCGTAGCTTTAGCTTGCTTTAAAAAAACATATATATGTATATATATAAATAATAAAATTCTTACCATTCTGATGCTACTTTCTAACTATTATAAATTAATTTGTCGAAAGTTCGAACCTGTGCTCAACTCTGCATTTCGAATGTCAACTAAAAGCTTGTGCTCAAAGTTTGTGTTGTTCGTTTCAATTGCTGCGACCGTCAAAGTTTCAACAAAAACGGGCATATCGATAATTACCCAGAGTTCCTAGTTCTTCATGTATATGCAAATACCGTGGGATCTTTTTGATATTACAACTGCAAGACTGGCAAATAACTCATTACCCTTGGTTCATAGATGTAAAGATGACTCCATTGTTATCATTCTAGAGTGTTATTCTATCGAGAAATATATGTGTATGTTGGGATCAAATTTGCAGATTTTATGAATTGTTTACTACTTTTTTGCGATAATTGCTTTTTCTTATGAAAATCAATCTTTATACCTGTGTTGGAGTTTATCTTACTACGCATTGTGGTAAGAATGGAAAGAATATACGCAAGATGTGAAAGTTATATTTACTTTATTCCACGTCCATTGTCTCAAATCTAGCATATGTAACATTTATGCTATATGACATGTGTGCTTAAAAGTGTTTGTTGTTGCGTCTACAGATGTTTGCGGGTAACTAGACTTTTCACGCACTTGTAGTACTTAGCTGCACGCAAACCATTGCTTAGGAAATCCACAGACATCTCTTCTGCGTTTAGGTTTTCGACATCTACTCTCCCTTCTCTCTCTTATAAACTTGTGTCTGTTGTGGACAATCGGGTTTCTGCATCGGGTTCGCATCGTGTTTTCAATGTTCCAACTAATTGTTTTAAAAATCTTAAGTATATGGCTTATTTGGCGGAGTCGGATAAGGCCATAGCTTGCGCTTCAGTACTCGACAAACTTAATGTTTTCTTGTGTTTTGGCCTCCAAACAGACTACATCGCCTTCATACTTGGCCGGCGATCATTTACACTTGCTCCTCGGTCTGCGTTCGTAAAGGCTTTGAGTGGTTTGTCTGACTTGTCGACTACTGTTTGATCGAAAATATTAGTAGAAATGTTCTCTTCTTATCCGCCTGAGTAGCCGAAGGC